GGGGTCACTACCGGTTCGACCCCCCCCCCCCACGCACCGCCAGCAAACGACTCCCGGTCCCTACCACCGCTCGCATCACATCCCCCACTGTTGTTCCCAGCACCACTGTCCTCACCACCACTGTCCCCACTGGTTCCACCACCGTCCCTATTGTCCCCACCAATGCCCCCACCACTGTCGCACTGTCCCCACTGTTCCCACAACTGTTCCCACCACGGTTCCACTCTCCCCACTGTCTCCACGGACCCAACCACTGCCTATCCCCACTGTCCCCACTGTCCCACTGACTCCTCCGCTGTCCCACTGAGCTGTCCCACTGTTTCCACCACTGTCCCCACTGTCCCCACCACTGTCCCCACTGTACCTCTGTCCCATTGTCCCACCGCCGTCCTCGCCACCGCCTTTACCAGTGTCCCCACCACCATTGTACCCTCCACTGTCCCAGTGTTTCCACCTCATTCCCACTGTCCCCACACCACTGTCCCCACCACCACCGTTCCCACCACTGTCCACTGTCCCCCCTGTTCCCACCATTGTCCCCACCACTGTCCCCACCACTACCGTCCCCACCACTGTCCCACTGTCCCCCCACTGTCCCCACCACTGTCCCGCTGTCCCCTCACCACTGTCCCCACCAACACCGTCCCCACCACTGTCCGCACCCCCACTCGGTTTTCGAGGGGGGGGGGGGGGGGTTCGAACCGGTAGTGACCCCCCCCCCTTTTCATGATGAGCTGGGGGGGGGGGGGGGTTCGAACCGGTAGGGACCCCCCCCCGGTTTTCCGGAGGGGGGGAGGGGGGTGGGAGGGGTTCGAACCGGTAATGACCCCCCCTGGTTTTCCGCCAGCAGCGGTAGAACACGCTCTTTCCGATGATGATGATGATGATGATGATGATGATGATGATGATGATGATGATGATGATGATGATGATGATGATGATGATGATGATGATGATGATGATGTTGACGATGATGATGATGATGATGATGATGATGATTCCGATGGTGTTGGTGATGATGATGTTGATGGAAATGGTGTCCTGGCGATAATGATGTTGATGCTGATGATGTTGATGATGATTATGATGTCCCGATGATGATGCTGATGATTATGATGATGATGGTGATGATGATGATGGTGATGCTGATGGTGTCCCGATGATGATAATAATGATAATGACGATGTTGATGATGATGTTGCTCATGATGATGAGGGTGCCCCAATGATGATGATGATGTTGTTGTTGATGATGATGTCGATGATGATGATGCTGCGATGATCATGATGATGATGGTGTCCCGAGGATGATGACGATGTTGATGATCACGTTGATGATGAGAACGATGGTAATCATGATGGTGTCCCGAGTATGATGATGATTATGATGATGATGCTGATGATGATGACGATGACTGTGCCCCGATGATGATGATGTTGATGATGAGATGATGGTGATGATGATGATGATGATGACGTTGTCCCGATGATGATGCTGACGTTGATGATGATGTTTATGATGATGATGATGACGGTGCCCTCATGATTATGACGATGTTGATGATGATGTTGCTCATGATGATGTTAATGATGATGATGATGACGTTGATTGTGAGAGCGATTGTGATATCGATAGTGAGATCGATATTGAGACCGAATGTGAGATCGATTGTGTGATCGATTGTGAGATCGATTGTGAGATCAATTGTGAGATCGATCGAATGAGATAGATCGAGTGAGATCGATTGTGAGATCGATCGAGTGAGATCGATCGAGCGAGACCGATAGTGAGATCGATACTGAGATCGATAGTGAGACCGATCGAGTGAGACGTTGGTTCCCCCTCCCCCCCGAACCTCCTTATCACCCGAAGGGTGGTCGTATCGGTATGAGTAGCATCGACAGTAGTCGAGGAACCCTTTAGGGTCTGAAACCTACCACAGTACCGCGGGCTCGTGTTGTGCCAATCCCAGCGTTGGTTCCTGACACCGCGGGAAACGTTTAAAAATTGAAACCATCGGCCGTTTCCGAACCGACTCTGAGTCGCCGGCGGCGTTCAGCATTGAGCACCGATGGCGAGGTCGCCGCCGGTCGACACGACGCAAAGCTACCGTGCAAGCCCGAGGTGACCCGAGTAGCAGCAGCAGCAGCAGCAGCAGCAGCAGCAGCAGCAGCAGGGGTCTCAGACCCCGACGTCAGTATTTTTTATCACATCGACCCCCACAGGTCTCGACCCACTCCCCAGGACCAATTTTTCATCCTGAGTCGCTTTCTGACTGTCCCGAGCAGCTTTGGGCTCTCTGGCGGCCGTTCGGGACGAGACGGGCGCCCCCGAACGCTCTCGGCGAGGCGCTGCCGCCGGAGTGCACCCGAGGCTGGAATACCGCCGAAAACCGACGAGGATCATCGAAAACCTCGAGCCTCGAACCAGGATAGAAACCCCTACGGACTCGAGGCGACCAGCAGCAGCAGGGCGGCTCCTGCCCCCGATCGGCGGACCCCCGCAGCGCGGCGCCGCCCGCCCCCGGCGCCCCGCGGGTGGCCGCCTGCCGCGGGGCCCGCTGGCCACGGTAGAAGGCGACCCTGGCGCTGGAGCTGCCCCCGAAGTTGTTGAGCGGCAGGCGGACGCGTGGAGGAGCAAAGCAGCAGCAGGCAAGCAGTCACTGTTGGCGGCCCGCGCGGAGCTCTCGCATCTGAGCGGGGCCCCCCTCCCTGGCGCGCGGAGCGCGCGGGGGGCGGCGCTGGAGGCGCCGCTGTGGGGGGCCCAGCGCAGGTCCAAGAAACCCGTGCGGACCGCCAGAAGTGCGTGTTTATGCAGTTGGTTGTTCTTCCACGACGGGCGGGCGGATCTCGGTCACCGTCCTGCGCAGCCTCTGCGCCCTGAGCGCCAGGTGGCGGCTCGCGCCCGGGACCTGGGCCAGGGAGGCCTCGAGCTGCCCGGCGATGCGGGTCATGAAGGCCTGGGTGTTGTTGTGCCAGCGGATGTCGTTCACTCTCACGATGCGGTCGCCGACCTGCAGGGCCTGGCTCGGGAAAGCGGCGTTGAAATTGGCGATCATGCCCTCGGCCCGGATCTTCTCGATCACGGGAGGAGTTTTCTCGTCCAGGCCGATGAGCTGCCAGCCGACAACCTTCGTGAGCGCATCGTTCGACTTGGCCGCAGGGACTTGCAGCGCGACCTTGATCCGCCGGGAGGACCCAGAAGCAATTGTCAGGAAGACCGTGGACAGGCGAAACGCTGTGAATGGGAAGGGGTCCAAGGATACAAGGCAGGAATCAGCAACCACGCCTAAGCGTCCCGAAACTAAAAAATCGGCGACCCCGTAGCGCAACAAAAAGTAAGCCTGCAAGCGTGCACAGTATAGCGGATAAGGGGTACCCATGAAGTAGTTAGCAGGCGAAGTGTGCATACGTACGCTGCGAATCACACACGATAAGTGAAAGCAAGGCAGCCCGAATGGCTACAAGATAGCTCCACGGTAGCTGCGAGGTGGAATGGTGGACGAGAGGCAACCATATCGTAGCTGTTAGTCCAAATCGGGCTGCTCCAAAATAGACAGGGGGAACACGCGAGGTATTCAGGAGGTGTCTATGGGTCGGGTAGGAAGTGCAGGATGGCAAGATGTTGCACAAGGATGGCAGGATGGCAGGAAGTGCAAAACGACAACATGTTGCTAGAAAGAGACCGCCGCTGATTTGTGCAGCTGGTGTACATGCTGCTGTGTCGGGCCAAGACAATCAAATACCGTATCCAATCAGACGAGAACCACATTTGAAATAAGCGCCCTTCGTCCGTGAAAGTGCGGTATGCCTTGCATGTCGTAAGACATAAGGATGCCTCAAGCGAAAGCCACATTTCGATAGGGTGCCGATTTCAATCCGTGCAGCTGCTGTGCACTGTGACGACGAGTGTCCGCGACACCAAGACGATAGCCCAATGTCGAAAAAGCACCGCCATAAATCAGTGCCGCTGCTCGAAATCTTCAAGACGAATTCACGCGACGCCTCAGCGAGAGCTCCATACTCCGACTGAGCCGCCCTCCATCCGTACAACTGTTGGAGATTTCGAGCTGCAGGATCACAGGCAGTGGGGGTGCCCAGACGAAACGCCCGGACCGCCCAGGCGGCACGTCTGATACTGTGACAACGAGACTTCTGTATAAGAAGGAGAGGCAGAGGAGGAGGAACGAGAACGGGAGGGGGAGGAGGAGGAGCACAAGAGTAAACCCAGGAGGAGGAGGAGGAGGCGGAGGAGGAGGGGGAGGAGGAGGAGGAGAGGGAGGAGGAGGAGGAGGAGGAGGAGGAAAAGGAGGAGGAGGGGGATGACGCTGCAAGTCACCCTCTTGGCCTCAGCCCCCTCATGATTTGGATGTTCAGGCGAGCTGTTGCCCACTGCGGGAGAAAAGCCCCCTTGAAAGACGAACGATGTGTGGGCTTGCCTTCCGAGCGAAAACACTGCTATATCCTTCTGGCAGGCTTGAGCACGAACAAGTCAATACCCGTGCGCTTGCCGTCGGGGGACGAACAATGACATGAACATAAAAACTCAGAGGTCCACACGGATTTCTCGGATCGGCGCTGGGGCCCCCTGGCGGCGCCTCCAGCGCCGCCCCCGTCGCGCTCCGCGCGCCAGGGAGGGGGTCGAGCGCCGATCCGAGAAATCCGCACGGACCTCCGAGTTGTTATTGTTTACGTCATTGTTCATTCCCCTGTGCCAGAGCCACGGCTTCATAATGGCTCGGCTCGTGTGCGACACGGTGTTGACACGTGATGGGCCCTCGCCTGTCAGAGGCAAAACGGCACCGAGGTGACCAGGAGGTCAGTAGTTACGATGTGACTGCGATGGCCACGTGGCGAAGCTAATGGGCCACTGCGGCGTGGCAGCGGTGTGGCTGCGCGCGGCCTCGGGGAGAGGTGCTGGGAGGCTGCAAGATGGTGGGGTGGAGCCGCTCGTGATGCGTGCATGCGAGGTCGCTGTGAGGCTGAGACGAGCGATGCGCAGTTGCTACGATGCAGACGCGACGTCCATGGGCTTGCCTTCAGCGGGCAGATCCGAGCCATCACGAGCAGCACGGGTCAGCGCGAGCCAGGGGGGCGACCCTTCTGTGAAGCCCCCCCAAGAGGCCCTAGGCTCCCAAGAGGGCCCAAAGAGCGCCCGAAGCAGTCCCAAGAGGCCTCCAAGAGGCACCCGAGAGGCCCACAAGAGGCCCCCGAGCGGCCTCAGAGAGCCCAAGATGACCTCCAAGATGGCTCAGATAGCCCAAGCTGGCTCAAGATGGCTCCCGAGATGCTCCAAGCGCCCCCAAGACCGCTCCAAGACGGCTCGAGATGGCAACGGAGCCTCCTAAGCCTCCCTCGCTGTATGACTATGCGTGTCTCTTCCTATCTCTCCCCGTCAGCTCTCATGGGCATCGTTTCTGGATGGGCTGGTGGGGATATCTTTTTTTTACAGCCGCAGGCGGAAGCGCCAGCGGCGGGAGGTCGCGAACGGGCCGGCTGGTGGGGATACGCGAAGCGTCGAGAATTAAATCTTGATTGGGTGCTCCCAGCCCGTCCTGCCGCCCCTGGGCGCTCCCTGGAGTTGGACTACGACGGACCTTGATGTCATCCGTGTCCCAGCGCACCTTCTCCACGACAGGAAAAGCAGCGTCGAACATCTCCTGCACGTCCCTGGGCCTCCGGAAGCTGAGCTCGAAACTTCTCGCGTGTCCGGCTGGCGTGCTGCGGGATCGCTGGTACTGACTCTCGAGACGACCGAGGAAGCGCGTCGAGTTCTCGTGCCAGGATATGTTGTTTATTCCAACAATCTCGTCGCCAGGACAGATCAAGCTGTTCGGATGGTGTTCGTTGTAATTGGCAATGGCCCCGTCTGAAAAGATATCCAGGATCGTGAGGGGGTGCCACGACTTGTTGTTCTGCGAGCCCAGTGTCCAGCCCATGCCCTCTAGCATGTTCGCACTGATGCTGTCGCCTGGCATTGAAAGTGTGGCCACGTAGTCTAACGCATATTCCTTGTGATGCATATCCTCTCGCTGCATATGTGTGCGATTCCTTTTGTCTATTCGGGGTCGCTGAATGTACAACGCCAGGAAGGGGCTTGCACCGGCTGTCTTGTGGCGGGCAGCCAGGTACTGGCCTTTGATGCGCTGCACGAAGGTCTTGCTGTTGTGATGCCACGTGATGTCGTTGACACGGACGATCTCATCGCCCACGTGAATCTGATTTCGTGGGTTGGCCTCGTTCCAATCTTGCGCGAGGCCCTTCTTCTTCACCTTCTTGATGACAACAGGCTGGAAATCTGTGTCTACGTTGAGCTTCAGGCCCAGCACCTTTCCAGTGCGGAGCATATCCGTCATGCTGAGCTTCACAACGATGTCTGCCTCATAGCTCTGCCTGTGCTTCTGCAGGCGCTGCTCCGGGAGGAGGTTCACGATAGGCTCGCGGTGGTTGTACGCCTCGTCTTCAGAACGACCCTGGTCGTCGCCGTCGTAACTTTCGGAGTCCATGCCAGCACTGTCCAATTCCAAAAGATGTCCGACATCGAACTGCTCGCCCAGGTCGTCAAAGTCGTATGTCCCTGACCCGTTCGAGAGCGCGCCATAACTGGACTGGTCTTCCAGGCCCGACTTCCAATCCTCATCGCTGAGAGCAGGCGCCTCCAGAGAGCGCAAACTCGCGCGCGCGTGCGTGCCAGGTGCAGAGAGGACTCCTCCTACTCCTCCTCCTCCTCGTCATCATCATCATCATCACCACCACCACCGCCATCATCATCATTTTCATCATCATCACCATCAGCAGAAACATCATTGTCATCGTCATCATCATAATCATCAGCATGATCAACATCATCATCACCATCATCATCTGAATCACCATCACCATCATCATCATCATCATCGACATCATCATCATCAACAACAGCAGCAACATCATCATATCATATCAGATCAGCGTCATCAGCAGCATCAGCATCAGCATCATCATCAGCATCATCAGCAGCAGCATCATCATCCGGCTCCCCCTCCTCCTCCTCCACCATGCCTCCTTCCTTCGCTAGCCTCTGCGCTGGTCCTTCGCTATACCCTGCGCTTCGGGTCGACGCGTCACGTTCGCTCCTTCGCGGGTATCCCTCTTCACTGCTCTCAGAGCTCCTAGGCGCCCGTGCTGAATGTCCTCATCGGTGCTGTCTTCTGCCGCCAGCGCTTGCTTGTTGCAATGTGTGGGGTGCAGCTCATACTTTCAGTCACATGGTGGGATGCTGCGTCTTCTCTTACAGGTCCCTGCAACAGATAATTTCAGCAACCCAGAGAATTAGCAGCCTCGCACTTATCCCTATCCCTAAGATTGACACGCCAAAAGGCGATGACAATCTTGGGGATGCGCCCTCAAAAAATAAGGGAATTCCTGAAAGTGGCATCGTGATGAGGAGATGCCCAGCATAGGGATAGGGATATGTTCCAGGCAGGTAAGAGAATCCCTTCCTCGTCTCCCTCCCTCCTCCTCCCCACTCCTCCCCACCCCTCCCTCGTGCTCGCACCCTTCCCCGCCCTCACGCCCTCACCCCCTGAGGCCCGGAGGCATATCTCAACCCCCTCCCTCCTTGCACACCCGGCTTATCCACAGAGCATCCCCCACTCCAGAGGCAGCAGAAATTCGCACTGTGGACGGAAGGTGGGGAAAGGACGAGGAGATGGACAACGAGAAGGAGGAGGAGGAGGAGGAGGAGAACGTCGAGGAGAACGCAAAAGAGAGGAAGAAGGGATGAGACCGAGCATGGGGGGAGGTACGCGTGGACGTGAGGAGGCGGAATGGGAGAGGGCGGGGCACGGGGAGCGGAAGGGGGGGGAGGGGCCTCGGGACATGGGGCTCACGAGACGGCGGGGAGGGGAGCAGACGGGATACAGTCATGGCACTGCCAGAAGGAACGCCAAAGGAGGAACAACGGGGCGTGTCTGGCCACGGTGGGCCTAGGCCACGAGCAAATCCCGCGACACTAATCTAAGGAACGGCCCGCACTTCGAGCCCTTTTCCGAACCCAGAGCGGTCCTGGTTTCAGCATCTTGGCTGTATGGGGGGGAGAGGTGGGGGGCCCAAACAATAGACACCACCACCTCCCCCCCCCCCCTCCCTCTCGCTGGCAAGAGGAGAGAGGAGGAACCGACGTGGTGGTGGTGGTGGTGGTGGTGTAGATCCTCTGGGCCCCGAAGAGAGAGAGAGAGAGAGAGAGAGAGAAGGCCCCGCGGAGCCGCCGCGGGTCTCCGCGGGGCAGGCTCGCCCAGAGCGCCGTGGTCGCCCCCCCCCCCGGGGGCCTCCTCGAGCACCGCCGCCAGCGAGCGGTGCGCGGGCCGCCAGAGCGCGGCCGCGAGCGCGGCGCGCCGCATGGGGCCACCGCGGGGGGCGGAGGGGCACGGGCAGGGCAAGGAGGCAGCCACTCGGAGGTCTTCGCCTCGCCCTCGCTCGGGCGTCCACTCCTCGCGTACGTGTTCGATGTCGTGCGTGCCTTCTCTTTTCGCGAAGGCATCCAGGGTGCTCCTCCTCCTCCATGGTTCTCGCCGAGGAAGAAGTGCACACGTCCGAGAGATGCCAGGTCGTCGGAAGGACTATAGGGGAGGAGTGCGCCCCCTTGGGGGGCTGTTGAGCCGGAGTGGGCCTCGGATTTGAACATGGGAGAACTCGGGCATCTCTGAGAGATCTGGCGGCTCTGGAGGATCTCAGGAGGCAACTGCTGGGAGTTGTTCGTCGGAGTGATGGAGAAGGATTAAGCCCCACTGGGGGGCTGTTACGCCAGAATGGGCCTCGGATTGAGCAGGAGTGAGCCAGACTAAACGGGATCAAGCGGGATTAAGCCGAGTTAAGCGGGATTAGGCCGGATTAAGCCAAGTTCCTCACCAGAGCGAAATCAGAACTTGATCTCCCGGGAGCTGCATCCGAAGGAAGGCGTGCAAAACGAAGGCACCTACGGTCACCGAAATGGAGCGCAGGGGCACCGAAGAGGCCCCATGCGGCAGGAGGTCCTTGGCAAGAGAACGGCGGCGGGGTGCTGGCTGGGCGGTGCGACGGCCGATGCCCGCGGCGCACACGGAGATCAGGGGAAGAAGGCGGTGCGCGCATGTGAACGGATGAGCCCCCACGCAACTGTCATGGAGGTGCGCGTGTCAAGCAGCGTGTGGGCGCTGCTCGATGAGACCGCCGCACACGCATTCACTCTCTCTCTCTCTCTTTCTCTCTCTCTCTCTCTCTCTTTCTCTCTCCCTCTCTCCCCCTCTCTCTCTCTCACTACCTCTCTCTGCACATAGACGAAGATTAGGATGTCTCTATGCGGTGGAAAACTCCGTGGCCCTTGCATCGGAATCTGCTTGTCGACCTCATCGGCAACCTCGTCGTCGCCAGAGTCAAGAAGGCAAGGCCCACTCCGATGCTCACCTCCACGGCCGCCGAGAGGCCCTCGAAGCAGCTCGATGCGCAGAGCCCCTCGCCCAGCGTGGCGACGACAGGGCGGCTTTATCGTGCACCAGATACAGCGCTGAAATATTATCCGAGGTCGTCTGCCGCAATGCTGGGATATAGAGAACGCCAGAACCGCACTCTTCGAGTCATGCCACCGTCCGACTTTTCCAGGTAAGCCTCCTCTCGCTGCACAATCCGCCCGAATCGCCTCTTCCTCCGAACCCTAGCCTGGGCGTCTTGTCTGCAGCTTGGTGAGCGGAAACGCCTTCGCAAATGCTCTTGTTCCCTTGCTGCCAGATCTGAAGATCAAGTCGCGCTCATCGCTGGATCTACTAACGTGGGACCATTTAGTATAGCGTTTTCGAGGCTCCCGTCAGCGGGATAAATGGCTGCGGCTCCAGCCTCTCGTGCTCCCGCTTCTGCCTGTACTGCTTGCCCTCCACCCTTCCCTTCAACCCGCCAAGCCATTTCCCCGCTCACAGAAACCGCTGAAGCTTCATAGTTGAGACCAGAGCAAACTCCAGATCAGAAAGCGCAGAGTAACACGTAATTGCACAGCATACCAGAGCACATACGATCAACGAGTCGACAAGACATGCACAATGTAGGCACACATTGTGACAGCGCGGAAGAGGACATCGGAGGTTTGGGGGGTGAGATCGCAACGGAACGGGGAGCCCCACACCGGGAAATCGGTGTCGGTTTCGTATTCGTGTCGTGCGTGCGGGCGAGACGAAACTGCGTGGGCGCGCGAGAGAAATGATGCCGCCGTGGCCAGGGGCTGTGAAGCTGGTTGTCCGCCCCTCCCCTTCCCTCCGGCGCGCGGTGGCCGGGGATGTCCCGTCGGTGACGCGGCGGTGGCGCGGCGGTGTCCTGTGGGTGGCGCGAGGTGTCTCGTCGGTGGCGCGGGGTGCCCCGTCGTTGGCGCGGCGGTGAGATCGATAGCGAGATCGAAAGTGAGATCGATTGTTAGATCTGTTGTGAGATCGATTATGAGATCTGTTGTGAGATCGATAATGAGATCTGTTGTGAGATCGATGGTGACATCGCTGGTGGAGATCTAGTGGGATCGACAGTGATATCAATACTGAAATCGATCGTGAGATCGATTGTGAGATCGGTTGTGAGACCGGCAGTGAGATCGATTGTGAGATCGATTGTGAGATCGATTGTGAGATCGATCGTGAGACAGATAGTGAGAATTCGTCTGGGAACGACAGTGAGTCCGAATGTGAGATCGATAGTGGGTTCGCTTGTCAGATCGATGCCAAGTTCGATTGGGAGACCGATAATGGAATCTGCTGTGAGATCGATCGTGAGATCGTTTGTGACATCGGTAGTGGGTTCGATTAATAAATTGCTAGTGGGATCGATTGTGAGATCGTTAGTGAGCTCGATAGTGAGATCAATAGTCAGACCTGCTGTGAGATCGATAATGAGATTTGTTGTGAGGTCGAGAGTTTGATCGATGTGAGATCGATCGAATGAGACGTTGGTTCGCCCTCCCCCCCCATACCCCCATGTCACCCGAAGAGTGGTCGTATAGGAATTGGATAACTATAAGACCAACCTTCGGGGGATAAGGATGTTGGGGTAGAAAGGAAAACCCACTGACAACAAATGCGATGACTGTGATGGCAATGAGATGGCGCCATCGATCCCCAGAATTGCACAATCGATCCCACCATCGATCTCACTCTCACTCTCGATATCGATCGCCATCGCCATTATCATCGTCATCACCGTCGTCATCATCGTCGCCATCGTCATCATCATCATCAGCATCATAACCATCATCATCATCATCATCATCATCATCATCATCATCATCATCATCATCATCATCATCATCATCATCATCATCATCATCATCATCATCATCTTCATCTTCATCATCAGCATCACCATCATCCGCAGCAGCATCACCACTCCCACCACCACCACCATCATCATCATCATCAGCATCATAATCATCATCATCAGCAACCGCATCGTCATCACCAGCATCATCATCATCAGCAGCATCACCAGCATCAGCATCATCATCATTCGCATCATCATCATCATCATCATCATCACCATCATCATCATCATCATCATCATCATCATCATCATCACCAGCAGCAGCAACATCGCCATCGTCGACATCGTCCCTCTGCTCTCCGCATGTGCACAATTTCGGCGCACCGCTCACACGGTTCGTGGCCCCATAGGGAGCTTCACCGAAAGCCCCAGTTACAAGGTTCCCATGCGTCTCCTCGCCAAGTTCGGCACACTCCTCGCATGCTCCGTGGCCCCATAGGGTAGTCCACCGAAGGCCCCCGTGGAAGGGTCCACACGCGCGCCCCCACCCACTTCGGCACACCAATCGCACGCTTCGTGACCAAGGAGGCCCCAGTGGCAGGGTCCGCATGCGTCCCCCGCGCATTTCAGAATACCCTCACACGCTTCGTGGCCCCGTAGGGAATTCCATCGAAGGCCCCAGTGGCAGGGTCCGCATGCGTCCCCCGCCCATTTCGGCACACTTCTCACATGCTTCGTGGCCCCATAGGAAGCCTCCACCGAAGGTCCCAATGACAGGATCCGCATGCGTCCCCCGGCCTTCTTCGACACACCCCTCGCACGCTTCGTGGCCCAATAGCCCAATAGGAAGCTCCACCGAAGGCCCCAGTGGCAGGGTCCGCACGCGTCCCTCCGCCCATTTCGGCCCACCCCTCACGCGCTTCGTGGCCCCATAGAGGGCTCCGACGGAGGTACCAGGGTCCGCATGCGTCGCCGCCGCCCATTTCGGCACACCCCTCACACGCCTCGTGGCCCCATAAAGAGCTCCACAGAAGGCCCCAATGGCTGTGACCACATGCGTTCCCGCCACCCGACGAAGGCACCAGGGTCCGCATGCGTCCCCGCCACCCATTTCGGCACAACCCTCACACGCTTCGTGGCCCCCTGGGGAGCTCCACCGAAGGCCCCAATGGCTGTGACCACATGCGCCCCCGCCACCCATGTCGGCACACCCCTTACACGCTTCGTGGCCCCATGGGGAGCTCCACCAAAGAGGATACGCACCACATGGTCGGGTCCGTCGCGGGAACACGCTTCGCCGCCCTTCCGCCGCCTTCCGCCGAGGATGAGATGTCAACTGATTCGGTCCCCGAAGGCAAGGACCTTGCTGGAATACCTCACGGGTCTCGAGATGAAGCGCACACAGGCGAAATGGTGACGCGTCTTGGCGAGAGAACAAGCCGCACGACGTCGACGCGACTCGGTACGGCGAACGCGGGGCCGCTGCGACGGGCGGGCCAGTGCGCGGAACCGCAACTTTGGAGAGAGCTGACGTGTGACCGCCCCTTCGATTTGCCACCTTACACAGGCCCCGCTCCTAGACCCCCCTCTCTGAGCGCTAAGCTTCTTACAAATACGGCCCGCACACATTCGCCCCCCTCCTCTCGACCCAGGCCAAGTCAGAATCATCCCAGCGCCGCGCGCAGCGGTCCACCCTCGCCAGTCTTGCATCCCGTTCCCGGCAATCCTGGGGCCCGAGACGGGCCTTCAGATGCCGAAAAATCCTGTTCGAACCTCGCCAGTCGCGCGTTCTGCCGTCCCACGCTCGGCTACGCGGCAAGCTCACAGCCGGGATCGACTACACGTGCGCAGACGCGCGGGAGCACCCGCGCGAGGGGGTTGCCCCGTGCAGGCCCCCTTCGCCGAGGGCGGTGCTCGGCACAGCCTCTTGGCACCATCCCCCCCTCTAATAAAAATATGTAAAAAAATAAAAAGAAACAACAACAACAACAACAACAACAACAACAACAACAACAACAACAACAACAACAACAACAACAACAACAACAACAACAACAACAACAACAACAACAACAACAACAACAACAACAACAAAACGCGAAGGGCTCGACCATGTGCAGTTGTGGGCACCACCCCAGAGCTCCCAATCGGGGCCGCGAAACGTGTGATGGACGGGCCGAAGTGGACATGGGGGCGCATGCGAACCCTGCCACTGGAGCCTTCGGTGGGGCTCCCTGTGGGGCCAGGAAACGTACGAGGGGTGCTCCGAAATGGGCGCGGGGGCGCATGCGAACCCTGCCTCTAGGGCCTTCGGTGGAGCTCTCTGTGGGGTCACGGGCGTGAAGGGTGTGCCGACGTGGTCGGGGGGACCCATGCGAAGCATGCCACAAGAACTTTCAGTGGAGCTCGCGGGGGGGCCACGAAGCGCGTCAGGGGTGGGCCGACATGGGTGGAGGGACGCACGCAGACCCTGCCACTGGGGCCTTCGGTGGAGCCCCCTGTGAGGCCACGAAGCGTGTGAGGGGTGAAATGGGCGGGAGGGGGGGGGCATACCTGCCATTGGGGCCTTCGGAGGAGCATTCTGTGGGACCACGAAACATCACGAAACGTGTTAGGGGTGTGACGACGTGGGCCGGAGGACGCACGCAGACCCTGCCACTGGGGCCTTCGGTGGAGCCCCCTTGTGGGGCCACGAAGCGCGCGAGGGGCGTGCCGCAACTGGCGGGGGGACGCATACGGGCCCTGCCATTGGGGCCTTCGGTGGACCACCCTATGGGGCCACGAAACGTCTCAGGGGTGTGACGAAATGGGCGCGGGGGTGCATGCGGACCCTACCACTGGGGCCTTCGGTGGAGCCCCCTGCGGGGCCACAAGATGGGTGAGGGGTGTGCCGAACCAGGGCCACAGACTGGCTGGAGACGGCCTCCAAGACCCAAGACGACAGTAAGAGCCCCTCGACGGCCCAAAGACGGCCCCACGACGGCAGCAAGAGACCTCCCGGGCGGCCCCGAGGCGGCCCGAGAGAGCCCCGAGACACCCCAAGGACGGCCCGAGGGAGCCGCAAGACTGGCCAACATGAGCCCAAGAACGGACGGAAGAGAAGAAGGGAGACGACGAAGACGAGAAGAGAACCCCCGGCACGACGTGGATGGGCGTGTCACGTCTGAGGGCTCCCCCAAGCCTCAGGACAGAAGATGTCACACGTTGCGGCCTCCGCCTGTGCGCCCCCAAAGCAGACGTCACCCGAGGTGCTGGACTGGCACTGTGGCGGGCCTTGCCGCGCGCAGCTGGTCAATGTCGGTAGAACCTCGCGTCAACTCCTCGGCTCTGCGTTTGCTCCTGTGGACGAAACCAGACCACGACTGTATTACATGTTGGGTCCGCCATTCTCTTGGGGGCGTACGGTCCTCGTCACAGTCGTCGTGCGCAGGGGTGGACGGTCCTCATCGCAGTCGTGGTGCGCGCTTGCGAGGTCTGATGAAACACATGGGTTGCCACACACGTCGCATCCTCGGAGACGCCAAATGATCGACCATGAGATGTTTCGCTGCTCGTGTTGTTCGCGTCCGTGTTGTAGTTTGCCAGCTGCGCTGCTGCAGCTGGTCTTGATCATT